CCCCTGCTTTCACTGTATTTGATGTCGGTATAATTTGTGGAGAGGAAGGGGAAAAACACATCGTTTAAATAGGGATACAGGTGGACCCATTGCAACAATGATATGTATAAGTCGTTGTATTGAAAACGAACTTTACAACTTTGGTGCGAGGGGAGGGGAGGATTGAGTGGGGGTGCGGGGGGACGTTGGGAAGGGATGGGAAGAGTAAACAAAGGAGGAGGCTACAATGCTTGATAAAAAGTGTACTCATTATCTTACCCATGTAGTTGTAACCCCTCTGTACAGTATTTTCACAATAAAAAAAGAATATTTTTCAAACTTAATTCTATGCAGACTTACCAAAAAGCTGCTATAATTTATTCTCTGTGTGTGTTTCTCTCTCTCTCTCTCTGTCTCTCTCTCTGTCTCTCTCTCTCTCTCTGTTTTTAAATTTCCTTAGTATACAAGTCAAGCTTGAAAGGTTGAAGAAGCGTTTGCCTGACTAGGCAACAAAATGTTCTCTGAGAATACTTGTTCCAAAAAAGAGGACTAGGAAATCTTTTTCTCTTAAATGTATAATGTGGTTTTCAAAATAGGGCATTTTCTTTTTAGATAAGATTTTTGAAACTTAAAAAAGTTGTCAAATCCTAATTGAATGTTTTTACTTACTGACTTCTTCACAAATTCATTATGTAACATTTTAACAGGTTAACAGATATAAAAGAGAAAATAAATCATCTTAATGAAGAAATTAGGCAACTCGATCTGGATTTAGAGGAGCACCAAGGTAACAATTTTGCTTTATTTCTACATTTTTATATTGGGCATTAACAGATATATAACAATACAGATATTAACTGGAATCTCAATATCCATTTAAACACTGGATATTTATTATTTACTTCTTTATGCTAATACTGACTTTAGCTACTGAAGTAGCTAAATTATTATTTTTTTCTTTTCTTTTTTCTTTAGTAGCTAAATTATTATAATTAAGGAAGGAAGGTGAGATTAAAATATATTGTAAATATGTCTGCAGATGTAACAACGAAATCCTCTCCTGTATAACTAATATAAACTAATTTAAAAACAAGCCAGGTGCTTGTGGCTTATGCCTGTAACCCTAGCTATTCAGGAAGCTGAGAACTGAGGATCACGGTTCAAAGCCAGCCCGGGCAGGAAAGTCTGTGAGACTCTTATCTCTAATAAAAACCACTAGAAAACCAGAAGTGGGGGCTGGGAAGGTGGCTTAATGGTAGAGCGCTTGCCTTGCATGCCTGAGGCTCTGGGTTCGATTCCTCAGCACCACATAAGCAAAAAGAAAAAAAGCCGGAAGTGGTGCTGTGGCTCAAGTGGTAG